ATGGATACTGAGTATAGATACAAGGAGGTGTTCTGAATAAAGTGAGTGTATTTCCAGTGCATATATCCACTTTACATTTACATATAAAGTCAAAATTTGTTTTGACTTCGTGATTTGCATGAACAAAAAAAGGTTTGTATTTATAAGAATTAATATAAATACTAATACTAATACTGTACTGATATATTTAAAAAAAAAAAAACACACAAATTGATGGGAAAAATGTATTCAGACACCACAAATTAATAACATCAGTTCTTTGTTGCAAAGCTGTTGTTGGCAATTTGAGCTCTGATTGAGATGTGTTTGGTAAGAAGTAATTAGCTTTTCATAGCACTGTAGTTCAATTTTGGCCCACTGCTCTAGGCCAGTGGTCACCAACCCTGGTCTTTGAGTTCTACCGTCCTGTGATTCTTCTTTCAACCACCATCAGCCACACACTGCTCCAGCTAATTAACATCTTCAGAAGTTGTGAAATTGTTGATTGGCTGGATCAGAATCAGTAGTGTTGGGTAAAGGGGGAGGGGCATGCAGGTTGGAACTAAACTCTGCAGGAGAGCAGATCTCCAGGAGTTCCCCAAGGTTATGAGGGTCCCCCTGATGGACTCGCTATTTCAAATCTGCCATGAAGTTTCAGTGAGATTCAGGAGACTGACTAGGCCAACATCCTCACCTTTTTTTTTAGAAACTAGTTTTATTCTGGCTGTATGTTCGGGAGTCATAATTTTCTCCTCATACATCTCCCAGTACATCACTCTACCGTTACTTCCATGACGAGTAATTTCTCTCACCACCATACTTCACTGTGTGGTGTTCTTAGGATCAACGCTTCTTTCTCCAAACAAGACAGGCTGAATTATTGCTAATGAGTTCTATTTTTGTTGCATCTGAAAAGAGTACACTTTTCCATACTCAAAAACACTCCCACTTAACCTGGCAATTAACAGGTAAATGTAATCAGATGTGTTTTTGCGTAGGTTAATCACCAAACTGTGTTGGACACCAGCCCTCCAGGACAGGAGTTGTGCAGTTTTGCGTGAGGTGTTTGCTGTGCAGTTCATTGCTTATTGTTTTCTGTTGGTCCTTCTGCTTTCAATTGTCCGGCAATGACTGCCAGCTTCTCCCTTAACTTCATAACATTAATCTGGTAGAAATCTGTCCAGGGATGATTAGCTGTGGTTCTATTATCTTCCACTTGCCTACTATCAATTCAATTATACTGGCAGGGACTTTTAAGAGCTGTATCATTCCCATTCAAGCATTATTTAATAATGTTGTCCCTGAGAACTTTAGGAAGCCACCTTCAAAAAAATCTTCCCAAACAATCGTCTTTTAAAATGACACCAGGTGCAATTTGCATGGACCAAACCCAAAATATCATGGTTTTTGAATGCATACTTTAATGACTAAAAAGTGTATTTGTGTAAATGTGAGGTGAATACGTGCACTGGCAGGATATCAAGTAACACAAAGTGTCTGAACACTTGTTTCCCCTCACTGTGTAGGAAAACGACACAAATCCAATTGAATGACTCACTATGTCTCTACAGATTCATTAATTCTGACTGACTACAGGGAGCGATAAGCAGCTTTTCCCATGTTGCACTTTCTAGGTGCTATTGACTCACCGTCACAACATCTCACGACTGCGAATCCAGCAAAACTCACACAAGCCAACTCACATAAAGTTACAGATGGCCGGGGCTCGGTTTGACTGCATATGTTTTAGAGGGAAACTCCAGTTTTTTCAACTTGCAGCATCTACAGTGTACGGTCGATTACCACTGACAACAATGTCAACTGATGGTCTTGTATTCCCTGTATCCCCTACTTACAAGAGAAAAAAAAATACAACAAAATATACTTATAATAGATGCCAGCTGACAGATGCTTCAGCTCACATATATGTAAGTCTAGTATGAGGTACAGTATGAAACTATGATAATAGCTCTTGCTTATTGTCATCTGTTATAAGTGCATTTTTAGTACTTTGCAAAAAGGCTTCAAAATAAGGCTGAATTTTTGGCATCTATGTCGCTTTCCTTGCTGTTAACAAATGACTAGAAGCTGATTGTTTTGGACTTCTGTGGACCAAGAACACTAGTGTAAGAATGGAACTGATAGTCATGTGTTGTTTTATAAGTAGAAACTTAATTCAGTACAAAACCTCATATTCATGTGTTAGAGAGGATGATGTTTGATTACTCTGCCCTGTTAGAGAGTGACTGAAAAAAAAGGGAGAGAAGAGTTAGGGCTGTTGTTGTGATTGCATCCAGACAATATAAAACTATTAAGAAAGAACTCGTTTGTGTGCTTGAGTTTAGTTCATCCACGCCAATGCTACCTACACTCCAAGCCAAGAATCAAGTATTACACTAGCACCACCAAGAGGTTGTAAGAAAACTATGTATTAACTAAGACGGGGCTGATTTATATCCAGCCCAAGCTGTAGATTCACTCAGCATCTGATTCCATGTCAAATCTGTCAGTGCTAGTTGGGGAAGATAGGTCCGGTTCTAAAAGCTGATTGGCTTAGACACGGTCAAAGACATTGTAAAATACCGCATGTATGAAAGTAAACTATACTTATCCAATCTCCATCACTGCAATAACGATAACTTCTACTAGCACCCTTATGGGATTTCTAGTATTATACTAGCTTATGGATTTTTGGAGCTAGTAGCATAGGCATCTGTAGCTCAACAGTCAGATAACATATTTTTACATTGCATACTGCTGAGTCCTGCAGCAGTGAGCCAGGTACTACTGAAATTGAGTGTTATATTAATCGCCTGGCAAAGTTTGAATGAAAACATTTTTACAAATTATAATAAAACACAACCTACACTGTATGTTCAAAAGTTTGTCGACACCTGCTCATCTAAGACTGACCTAATTAATCGTATTTTATTTTAATCTTATTTAAATTTAAACATTTAAGCGTGACCAGGAGGTAGCAGGATGGTTCATTTCATTGTTTCATTGGTGTAGCTGGGCCCACAGCATGTAAGCTATTGACAGGTGATATTTTTTAGTCCTCCAATGTAATGTGTTTATTGATTAGCTCACATCCATTTTTCATGTGCAGATGAGAGTAAAGCACCAGTACCTACAATAAAATGAGCCATAGCAATAAACCCAGGTTATTATTAATCCTGTGTGAATCAACATGTCAGTAAAAATGCTGTCTATTCTGTTTAGTGGCCTTCAATGCTGAGTTTACTTGTCTTCTCTGCGGCTCAATATGTTCTACCTCAAGTGTACTCAGAACATCAAAACATATAAAATGGCAGAAAAAAGTTGAAGATTTTTTTGCAGTGATAGTGACTGTAAGCTGTAAATTCCCAAGCTAATGATAATCCTAATGACACAGTGCTTTCATGTAAGACAGGTCAAGAATCTTTTAATTATGCAAAGGGTTCTCTTGAGAGTTTTTAAACCATTTTATTTACTAAAGAACCTTTGAAGAGCCATATTTTTAAATATAATATTGGAAAACATAAAACAGGCGTTTCATTGAATTGTTGGTCTGTATGTTTCTCCTTGTGAAAAAGCCCAAAAGTGATTTCAACATTTAAATACTGGCACCTCAAACAGTTAAGTGAGTACTTGAGTACTCGTCTACATCCCAAAAGGAAATGCATCAGAATTTTTGCCCCGTGCTAATTAGGTTGAGTTAGTAGATGAGGTTGAAATCCAATAAAACAGTAATTCCTACTAATGCTTCGTGGGACTTTTCTTGCTCTGTAGCCTGCTGTTGCTAACAGACATATATGATATCATTTTTTTTTTTAGTGTTTAGTGTGTCCAGCTTTGGCCTTGATTGCAGCATCAATTCCTTGTCCACCAAAGTTCAGTGTTAGAAGTTGGCTGCATCTTCTGCTTCTCACAAACCAAATAATTCCAATTACCAATTTAGAATCAGTTACAAAATGAGCCTGTTTAGCGAAGAAACTGCACTATCTTTACCTTTTTAGCCACGTCCTTAACAATTCATACTTAGCAACATGCCCACGATAAGGCACTTTCACATATTACAGTTATAGTAAAGCATAAAACAGCCATTTAACTGAATTGTTGGTCTGTATATTTTCTTGTCTTACTGTTCTCTCACTATATTTTCTCATCTTACTGTGAAAACACAAAAAATACATGATTAGTGATTTCAGTATTTTAATACTGGGGTAGTTGAGTACATGCAGAAGGAAACGTCAGAATTTTTCACAGTGCTAACTGACCATGTACGGAGGCAGCAGATTTGAATTAGATTGAATTAGGAGGTTAAGTTGAAAAATACTGGTGAATTCCTGTAAATCTAATAAAAAGCTAATTCCTACTTGCTTGGTGGGACATTTTTTTTTTGCTCTGTAAGCTGCTGTTGCTAGCAGACTGCCACGTCCTTGTCCTATTCCACGCAGCCATCATGTGATATTCATTTTTTAATAAGCCATTAATTTTTAATAGGAGATCCTAGCTGCTTCTTTAAATTTTCTTTATGCAAATGATGTGTGTGCCAGCATTTGGGATACTAGGGAGCAGAAAACAGACAGGCATCTGTGTGTATATGTGTGTGTGTCTGACTAAGATTTCATTGAATGAAGGGTTTTATTGATCTCAGTGGACATCAGCCCCCTCCAGCCTTGGTTCAAGTCTGAGAGATATATTAAAACATCTAAAGAGAGTGAGACCACTACACCACCCCATTAGACAGGCCGAGACAAACTGAGAGAGATAAAGAAAACATCATACTATCAATTTCTTCATATGAGAAAGAAATCTAATCTTTCAGGTACGTTCAAAAGCAACATCCGCAGATCTGACTCGTCTGTTCGGCGGTTGCAGAGATGAAACAAACAGATTGATTTATCACCTCTGCGCGCGTCGAGCTTTGCTTATCACCTTCCGTTTTCACACTCCAGAAAGTTCCCGCTCCTTGTCAGCGTTCTCCCTCACACAGTCAAAAAACCAAAAACAAAAAACCCACTATTATTCTCACTCACCTCTACGTTCTTCTGCAGAGTCAGTCTGAAAAGAGAAAGAGAAGAAAAAGAAAAGAGGAGGTTAGTGTCAAAAGAAGTAAGCATGAAGTCTGAGAATTCACTGCAGAATTATTGCAAAGTTTTGCATCAAAACATCATAATTCAGTTTTGTTTGAAAACATTTACTGCCATTTATATGAACATCTCACAAAGAATGGACTCATACAAATGGTCCAAAATTAGGTGAAGTACTGTGCAAAAGCAGAGACATTATAAAGGAGGAGACAGCTCACTGGTGAAGGAATAGGAAAGCTTGTAATGCGCAACATGGCATCGGAGAAAGTCTCGTCCCTCAATAAAAAGAGCCAATTGGCTTGCGCGTTAAGCCACAAGGTCTGTAAAAAAGTGTCTTTGTACAAACTATTTATGATGTTTTGGTCAGATTTTACCTGTGATTTCAAATATATTTTTATTAGGCTTTGGGATTCATAGCTCTTTCTCTTTCAAAAGAGAGAAGAGTCTGGTCTTGTATGACTTATAAGAACTGACTGGGGGCGTTGCCAAAATGGTTGTTGAGTGAACAGACTTTCCTATAGGGACTTTGGCCAACGTCGGAAACCGTCCTTTATTGGTTTAATTTCCAGTCAAAATGACCATTAAGTACAAGTTTCATTTTCAGCATCATGAAAAAGCAGAAGAAAATTACACCGAAGGCTTAAATTAGACGTAATATCTATTTTTTTAATATGTTCACCCTTTGCTATTATACAGCTACCATTCTTTTTGAGAAATGAAGAGAAATCCTGCAAATGAAAAAATAGCCTAAATAAAGTAGAATGATCACTAAATCATATTTATAAACAATATAAAATGATAACAGGAAAACGATTAAAATGAATGAAGGCATTCTAAAGAGCTGCGAAGCAACCGATCACGTGAACAACACACAAATTCTCATAGCTTACAGAGACAGCAGAGCCTTCAGTCCAACGGCCACAGCTGCCCAGCAAAACACCAAAAATAACTGCTCTGTTGTTTAATTCCTGCTTTCTGTTTACTGGGAATAAATGGTGTTTGGTGAAGTTACTTCACAGTGAGCCTGATGACCATGACTAACATGTTACTTCAGGAGAGGACAATGTATTTATGAATAGACTATGTCAGATATTGGATGTCAGTTCACCTTGATGCACCTGCGCAGGTAGGAGTGGGACAAAACATTTCGATTCCGGGCGGGAGAGGGATAAATAATTCTGATTTTCTGCAGGAGCAGGGATGAAATCTTGCCGGAGCAGACAGGAGTGGGACTTTAAAAACAGTCCCCCTGTGGTTCTGAGTGGTGCAACCGTCTAAGCATTATCCCTATCAGAGGTTGGCGCTTTCCTCCGAGCGTGTTCAACTGTCCAATGACGTTGCGTGAGCGACAGTTCGAAAAGATGCGGTGGTGCTTCACAGGTCTCGGAGGAAGCCTGTGTTAGCCTCCTAGCGCTGGTAGTATCGTGTGACTGGGGGAGTCCTAACTAGCAGGTGGAATTGGATACGACTAAATTGGGAAGAAAATTGGGTAAAAAAATAAAATTTTCCTTCAAGGGTTCTTTAGTAGAACCATGAGCTCTATATAGGATCACTTCATGCTTAAAAAGTTATTTGCATGGTAAATTAGCTCTTCAGATTGATGGAGATTGTAGCTACAGTGTCAAGCTTGTAACAACAGCAGAACACTTTTTGGTGCTACATAGAAGCATTTTCAAAAAGGTACTATATAGAACAACATACAACACATTCTCCATTAGTCTGAAGAACCAATTAAGGATGAACTGGTGCTATGTAGAACTCATGGTTCTAAATAGAACCACTGTCTTATTAAACTCTGCTACAAGCAGAGTTGATTACTGTCATGCTCTTCTAACTGGGCTTCCTAAGAAAACTATACATCCCTTACAACTCGTACAAAGTGCAGCAGCATGGATTCTGCACTGACTGCCCTGTATCTTTCAGGATAGATTTAAAAGTTCTGCTAGTAGTTTTTAAGGTTCTAAATTACCTAGAACCTGCTTACTTCACAGAGTGTCTGTCTGTTTAGGTTCTAGCACCTTATCTTAGATTTGCAGATACTGACCTTCTGCATATACTTTCTGTAAAATACAGGAAACATGGGGCAGCCTCGATCAGGTATTATGCTTCTAAACTGTGGCGCTCTATTCCACCTTTTATTATCATGCTTTTAAGAAACATTTAACTTAGCGTTTAATTAAGACTCTATGTCTCTTGGTATTCATCTTTTTAATTTGATCTGAGTCATTTTCTTATATGATTTTAAATTCATACTCATAACTTTTTCTTCTATTACTGTTAAGCTTTATCACCTCTCTGTAAAGCAAGAAAAGTGCTATATAAAAAAAGATTTTTTTCGTTATTAAAGAACCTTCTTTTTTCAGTATGTAGTGCAAATTATTTCAGCTTTTTTTGACAGCTACACATCCTTTCAGACCCATAGTGTTGAATTCTCTTCTCACAGTGGAAGGATGGACAGAAGCACCTGTGTATTTTTTTAGATTTGGAAAAGTTTGGAGTTTGATTTTCTCCTCTCTCTCAAAGATGAAAGCTTTAAGTGCTGTTTATCTGATGGGGACAGTTTTGGTGGTCTACCAGGTCTTGTGTGGTTGCTAGGAGTCCTGGTTTCCTTTATGATTGAATAATTCACACTTATTTTCCTTTGACTTTCCTCTTCCTTATGCAAATGGTTATTTTATATTTAATCTCCAGAAATTCCTCCTGAAAAATGAATAACTTAAAGGCAGTTTTGACTGGAAATTAAATAAACCAAGGCTCTGACTTTTGAACAGTACTAGTAGTAGTAGTAATAAACATCTTCTATAAAGTTAACATTTCAGAGATATGAAGTTGTTATGACAGTGAAACAGTGATTTCATGGATATTTTAAACTGAAAATGCATTCATGACAAACTGAGAAGGAAAAGAGAAGGAAATATGTGCAAAGCCTCCTGAGATAATTCACACCTGTGCTTCACAATCTAGCTGTTATGTAGTTTAAAATACCGCCGTCTGCGTCAAACACCAGAACTACAAATACATTTTGGAATGGCTGAGCCACAGATTCAGGCTCTGTGATCTTTTCATTATCTGCCATGGCCCAAACATTTAACTGTCCGAGATCTTGACAGAAATCTCTGGGCTGTGTCCAAAAAGGTCCCTACATTGGAAAACTAGAAGCATTATATGGATCATTCTACCAAATTAGTTCCCATAGTAAAAAACACTATTTAAAAAGCATTGAGGTTTTCAGAGCTTAGATATTGGCAAGGATGTTATGATCTATTTAAACTCAATACATTAAGAGAGGTAATAATAAGCTAAATATATACAAAATCAATTTTAATTTTAATTTCAGTTCAGTTTAAAACATTTAATTCAAAAATGCTGTCTTAGGTTTTCATGCCACTACCGAAACACAGAGTTTTAGTTGGTAGGCGGAGCCATATTGTAGCCACACCCCTGCATTTTAGAGTAGGAAGTGAGACTGCATCCCTGTCCCTCATGGCCACATGGTGAGCAGTTAGATCCTATTTGAAGTAAATGTGTCCTAAAGTCTGAAAATCAGTGTGTAACATTAAGAATTTTCACTACTGAAACACACATTTACTGCAATTAAGTGAACTTTTTTGTGTTTTAATGAAAAATATGATGTGTACAGCAGTTCAAAGCTGTGTTTGATAGTCAAGTACCGGCTAGCGTTATAGTCACTACTGAAACTATTGGTAAAGTTTGAGTGTTATGATTGTTTAGGTGGTGACAAAATGGAATGTTCAATCATTTATTCTAATAAAAGAAACATAATTAAGGTATAGGGTCATTCATAGCAAAAAAAATTAGTGTAAAGTCCAAATCAGTTAAAAAAGGCCAAAAAATGTTTTCCACTCTGACTGTGAACCAATTCTATAGAATGATCCATAAAGAGCCTTTATAGTGATCAGAATTTGTGATCAAGTAAATGATTTTGCTAAATATATATATATATATATATATATATATATATATATATATATATATATATATATATAAAATGCTTAATATGCTAAAATGGTCCGTTTGCCCATCACTCTGTGACAGTAGCGACTTCCCATCACATATGACGCACTGCATTACGGGTGTTCTCTGTCCCAACAGTATATACACTACCCATTGGAGTGCATTGTAGGACTAAGAACGTACTACGAGTGACGTTTTTCACATAAAACTGCTTCCACTCATTATAAAGCAAAAAACAATTAGTTGCTTTCTCACTTGCTAATTAAATTGGTGGTTCATCTGACAGATTAGGCCTTCAATTCAGTTCCTGAAGGCCTAATCAATGGGAGAGCTCACTTAGCTATATCTACCTAGACACCCTGGATGAAAAAGAAGCTGATTGGATAAATTTCCATTAGGCATTTTAAGAATTTAACCCATTTGTCTCCAACCAAAACTTAACCAAAGTAGACGTATAACCTCAGACTTTAAATACAACAAGAATAATGATTGCAAAATTAACCAACTAATTATAAAATGATTATAAAAATTAACTACAAAATTACACACATTTATTTTTTACATTTTTCTCTGAAGGCCTTGATGGTCTCCTTCTGTTTTATAGTGAATAGGACATATAATACTATACATCAGGAAAAAGCTAATATTTCTGATAGTCAGAGAATAAACCTGCATTCATCCTTCTAACATATTGCTAATGTTTTTATAAGCAAGACATTATGTTTTACTTTATTTATGTTTATTTATATTTTTTGTATTGTTACACAGGGTTTTTACAGGCATTGAGATAAACAGTTTTAAACACGTTCTTGGCTGCCTAAGTCTGAGTACACTACAGTGGCTACAGTACACTTGTACTTAGTATATTAGCAATGCTGAAGTGTAACAGGGGGGCGATATTTGTTATACCGCTGAATGTAAAAACTCATTATCCATATGCATGATTTGGCAAGTGTGTAGCAAGCGTGTGTTTGATACTCAGCAGATTTACTCGAC